CCTATTGCTGAAGTTGCCAGCTAGAGCCAATACTAGAGGCAAATGTCTTCCAATTCCTAAATAGAACTCTCTCCTTTATCCAGAAAGTAACTAGAACCCATCTAGCAAAGAAGTTGGGAAGACTAGTTTGCAAGGGAGTCTTGGAAATGTAGATTTCAAGCTTCTGATGACCCACAGTAATAAAAGACTGTAGGTGGCAGGTGTGGGGCTGAGTACCAACAGACAATATCCAATGCACTCCTGTTGGTGAGATTCCTGCCAGTATAAGTTTGTATTAGTATTGCCATTGTCTGGTGCAAAAAACAGGGTTCATGTTGAAATCAATTTTGTTGGTTTTATGTCCGTTGTTGCTCAATGATGTCTCAGTGAAACTCCTCCAAGTCAACTCACGTAGCACTAGTTTATTCTCTTCAAGAGCCTGCATGTTGTTACCTGAAGTAGGTGAATCGCAATCCATCCACACATCCCCTTTGATGAGTTTGCACTGTGCTTCCTCTTTTTCTCCATCATAAACACTGCTTAAATAAATACCACTCTTCATCATTCTCTACATATTGGTACATTTTCTTTCTTACAAGACAAGGTCCTAGGTTTCGGATTGCTGATGGGCTAGAATACGTTTTGTTTTCAGTTGCTATATTGCTTCCCCATATGGCCATAACACTTCATATTTTCAGTCAACATAGGACAGAACTCCTTTCACCACATCGCTGCCAGCAACACATGTTATCTGGGATAGTTTCTCAATTATAATTTTTTTTCTCAGAAGCAAGCAACAGTAGTAGGCAATCCAAATGCTATCTCAACTCAACTGTAATTTTACAGATCTACACCATCAGAATGCATGGGGATTTTTAAACGATTCACATTTTCTAATTTAAAATTATCATGGAAATCACTCAAATCAGTGAAGATGGAATAGCTTTTCAGTAATATTTCAGCTAAAATAGATCTAACATCAATTATATTCCTGTTTTATTTTGCTGTTCTTTTTCTTTTAAAAGAAAAAGTTTGCTAAAACTTTGTGACAGTCTGCTGTTATAAGTTTGTATTAGGCATCCTCTCTGGTTGAATCAGTCACAGCAGGCTAATTTACATTGTGATTACTCTCAACCCCCAAATCTTAATGACTTTTAACATCAAATGCACACTTCTTGCTCTATGTCCATCACAAGTTGGCTGGGGATGGGGAGGGAGCTTCATCCATGTCTCTTCAACCAGCAATCCAGGCTGCTGGGCTGTCGACCATCTGAAGCATTGCCGGTGGTTGTGGAAGGTGGAAGAGAAGGCAGAAAATTGAAAATTGGCTCTTAAAGACTCCTGCCCAGCAATGACTTACATTGTGTCCAATTACTTGGTAATGAGCAATATCAACTAACACATTGATTAGAATAATTTCTTGGAACATTTGTTACATATTTCTCAACTTGTCATAATTCAGCACGTAATATTTCAGTTGTCTTCCTGTTCCCTTTGTGGAGAATTTACCAATTTTGAATTATTTTATAAAGGTATTGAGGCTATTGATTTTGAATAACTGGGTTTTGGGCTTGCTCTATAAATTGAATAGCTAAATGGTCAAATAGCTATACATTTCTATTTGCCATACTGTTTAGGTAGCTCATTGAAGGAATTGATTAATGGCATCAAAAATATTATGACAGTTTAATCAGTAACATTAGGATAAATGGCATTAGTATTTTCCATGTTTTCAATGTGATTTAAATCTAGTTGCAGCCCTTGATGATTGCCATTTGGATCCATCCAAGTGCCCAGATTATACCTGGGAATATTCGCAGCTCTCATGTTGTTGACATAGTGGTTAAAGTTTGTGATTATTACTTCACACTAATATATTGCAAGGAAAAGCTTTGGTAACTGAAAAGGGGTTAGGAGATTATAAATGTACATTTTACTGAAGGCAGCCACTAATTCTTTGTCTACAGAAAAAGCATCTTGTGGATATTTCCTGGCATTGCAGCTTTTGGTGAATAGCATTAAAATTCTGATTCCATATTGCTTGTTCTTTTACATTGAAACAGATGTCAGTTTCATATGGATTCTGAGTATCATCCAATCTGTTCTTCAAATATAAATGTAATTACTGGTCAATGGTTTTGGATAATTTATACATCTGCTGAAGTCGTGGAGGTTTTATTAATTATTTTGACTTAGAGTTCGTTCCCTTCAGAAAGCTGAGGATTTGGAACAATATTACTTTGGGTTAAGCCACCTCTTCTCCTAATAATAGACACATGTGCTTAAGTAGGCTGGGTAGGGATGATCTGAACTGTTATTACTCACAAGTCCTAAAAGAAGATTCAGAGGCTGGTCTGTGGCCAAGTGGTTATGTTCACGGGCTCTGCTTTGGCAGCCCAGGGTTTTGCTGGTTCAGATCCTGGGTGTGGACCTAGCACCGCTCCTCAAGCCATGCTGAGGCGGTGTCCCACATAGAAGAACTAGAAGGACCTCAACTAGAATATACAGCTATGTGCTGAGGGGCTTTGGAAGAAAAAAAAAAAAGAGGATTCAGGTACAAAAAGGGGATTCCCTCCAAGTTAGGAAGACTCTGCATGCTTATTTCATACCCTTTGTGAAAGGCAAAAGGACGTAGTTTACAAAAGATGTAAAGCTTAAGCTTTAGATGGTTAGAGTAAAGCTAATATTTTCTCAATTATGAAGGATTGCAAAAGTCATTAGAACCAACTTCCATCCAGTTTTGAGACACCTGAGATATAGTTCCCAAATTTTGCCTAAATGTGACCTCCACGCTTTCAATAATAAGCTTATTTCCTGTTACCACTTGCAAACTTGCTAAACAAAGTGAAAATAGTAAATATCATTTGTTAATACCTCTCTTGCACTTCCTGCTAGTACTACCACTACAGCTATTACTATTCTACTCTTCCTGCTAATACGTATTTAACCAACATGATTTGCACTGCTGCTCAATAGTTGGGGATAATTTACACATTGGCTGAAGTTGTAGAGTTTTTATTTTGATTTAGAGTTTGTAGCCTCCAAAAAACTTAGGATTTTGAAGCAAATTGTCTTTTTACTTACTTATTTATTTATTTTTGCTGAGGAAGATTAGCCCTGAGCTAACATCTGTGCCAATCTTCCTCCACTTTATTTGTGGGTAACTGCCACAGCATGGCTGATGAGTGGTGTAAGTCTGCACCCAGGATCCAAATGTGTGAACCTGGGCTGCCAAAGCGGGGCACACTGAACTGAACCAGCATGCCACAGGGTCAGCCTCGAGAGCTAAATTATCTTACGTGAGGTAAGCCCCACTTCTAGTAATAGCCACATGTGTTATATGTTCTGTATTCATCATCTTATTTATTCTTCACAACACATCTCTAAGGTAGGTGGGAAACTTATCCACATTTTATACAGAAGAAGACTAAAGTTTAGAAAGGCTAAGAAAATTACCACTCAGATTTTAAATGTAGGCTGCCTGATTATTCAGTTCATATTTTTAAACATCCTGCTACATCCTTCTTTCTGTTTTTTTTCCCCCAAATTCTTATTCTTGTATTGCATTTTCACCTGTAATATAAGTGACAACTAGTACTGGAATGATTTATTAGATACACTCACTGTTTAAATGCTTGCCAAGTTGCCAGGACCAAAATAGAATATCAATGAAATTTTCTAGATATTAAGATTGCTCTCATCACTGTACACCGAGATCGAAAATCTAGGACCTCATAATTAATCAGACAATTCTCTCAGGAGTTCCTGTGTTTGCTCTATTTGCTCTTGTGTAACAATCCTGTAACATGCTCCAACACATGAGTGCTAGGGTGTCTTTCACCGTCTTAGGAGGATATTCAATCTAAGCAGCAATTTGGCTTGCACTGGACAATATTATACTTCTCCGAACACGTGGATGAAATGTGGTTCTGTGAAAGTTATGTTATCATATAGGCCAGCAGTTTAAAATGTTTGGAATTAAAAATATTTTAAAGTGGGGCTGGCCCCATGGCCGAGTGGTTAAGTTTGCACGCTCCACTGCAGGCAGCCCACTGTTTCGTTGGTTCGAATCCTGGGCGCGGACATGGCAGTGCTCGTTGGGCCACGCTGAGGCAGCGTCCCACATGCCACAACTAGAAGGACCCACAACGAAGAACATACAACTGTGTACTGGGGGGCTTTGGGAGAAAAAGGAAATAAAATTCTTTAAAAAAATATTTTAAAGTGGATTATACATACTGTTATCCTGAATTACCTCTATTAAAGACACATGTTTTTGTATGGACAAATATTGTTCAATTTCCAATATGTTCCTGTTGTTGGGGCTGTTGTTGATATTATGTTGGAAGACTCTGTGATATGTTTAAATTAAAACTCTTTCTTGAACCCTCAGGCACAAGGTTCTTGTCACTGCTATGCTATTTAGGAGAGAATTACCAGGGGAGGTTGGGGCCTGGGGAAGTGTGTTCTACTTATCAAGTCAAAGGAATTTTTACAATCTTTTCTTTCATTGGTGGACCTGTGAGTTGAGCTGGATAGAATCAGAGAGATGCTCCAAAGATTATTTTATTGATGACTAAATACATTTTCGTAAGAGTAGAGACCCCAAATTGAAGCTTTTCAAGCAGTCGGTTGGCTGAAACTAAAATGGTATCTAGAATAGTTATCAGTCCCTTAAGCATGCAAAACGTTCTCTAAAACCCAAACCAATTTTGTGCTATGAGAAAGAGATTATTAAGTAGATGAAAAATTGTTGTCGAAAATATGGATTTAAAGACTTCAATACTGAGAACTATGTAATTTCCAAATGATAACTTAATATTGATATGATAGGGAAAAAATAGCCATTAATGATTGAAAGCAAAAGAAGTATATGCATTAAATAAAAACAAATTGAAAGAAGGCACATAATAAAACACTTAGCTCTTCAGCTATTATTCTGTAATATGAAAGTTTTTAAAAAAGCCTTACTAATATATTGGATTTTTTGGTTTGTTTGTTTTACATGTTTCCTGATCCAGATTTATATTTTTGAAAATAATATCTACTATCAACCTGATATAAAGAGCAGTTCACTGCGACTGACATCTTCTGGAAAAGAAGGAGTTATTTTTAATGGGATTGCTGACTGGTTATATGAAGGTAAGTTGAATACACTTAGTTTCAAAAGAACACAAAGGATATATTTTATACAAAATCTATTGGAAAAATCTGTTCCTTCCTGAATAATACTTATACCACTATTTATTCTCCTCATTTCCTCTCAAAATTGCCTTCATGCTTTCATATCCTTGCATGTGCTCGTATCTCAACTGGTTGTCATTTACATCTACTTGTATGATTACAAATTTGGTATATGTATTATATATACACATACACACACACACACACATTTTGTTCAGGCTAGACACATTTGATTTTTGGTGACACTTACCTAATGAAAGTGAATGATCACCTTATTTCACTCTGTAATTAGATGCTGAAGCAGTCTGACTATCTGGAAAAGAACAAGCAAAAACCTTTACTGCTCAAAAAGTCCACGAAAGCCACTTGATTTTAGTCATTCCTATTAAGAACATTCTATCACATTGTAAAAGCCATTGCATAGGGAATAAAACAAAACCTACCTAAAGAGTTATTTACAATATTTATTGAATCAACTTTTCATAATAGCTGAGAATACATAAAGGAATCAGGTGATGCAAACCTCTATCCAGTTTGATCAAGTTCCGATTGTCAGCCGAGTTATAGGTACGGATTGCCTGGGAAGACTCAAAGCTTGAGTTGAATACCTAGGTTCCAGACTCTGCAACTGATCTTGGCAAAATACGTCAAGATTTGAACTAAGTTAGTCTATTTGATTATAAATTATAAAGCTAAGAATCATCTAGAAGACAAATTTTATTTCTTGAGCAATATTGGAAAATGCAATCTTTCGACCTCAGAGTTGGAATTTTTAATTCTGCAAGAAAAGTAAATCATTTAGCTCATTCATTCATTTCTTCCCTCCTTCAACAGATATTATTGAAGATCTACTGTGTTCTAAGTACTTGTCTAGGTGCTGAGATACATCAGGGAACAAAATACAATCCTGCTTTCAGGACCTTACTTTAAGAGAAAAATTTTGATAGGAGGAGCTATTTTATTAAGAAGACACCTTGACATTTATATGTATATGTGTGCATGTATATTTATATCTATAATATAATTTTGTGTATATGCCAGCATCAAATAATAAAAGATTTTACAGGCCACAGTCTATTCTGAGGAATAGCGGGAGCTACTGTGGGAATATCAGCAAAAATTATGCTATGACATTTTAGAAAATTGAAATACACAAATAGATAAGTAGGGTTCTTTGGCTGAAAGTGTCAGAAGATGACTCTGGGTTTCTTATTTCAAAAAGATAAATTATTGTAGGAGCCTGGAGTGGCCCAATTAATTGAAGAGACAGGTGGGAAACAAACTTGACCCTGGGTGGTTCTGGGAATCTAGGTGGCAGGAGCTAACCATCTCTACCTAGAGGAGCTAGGTAAGATGTGCTCTTATCTTCAAAATGTTGTTGGTGCTGTGTGAGACCATGACAGATGGGGAAACCATGTCAATGCACTGTGGTAAGCAGTCAAATCACAGTAAACGAAAGGACAAATGAGTGAGACTTAGCCCATTCTAGAGATCTGCAAACATTTTCCTAAAGGAGAAACCCTCTAAGCTGAGCCTGAAAGATTAAGAAGTGTTACAAAAGAGAAGAAACTAGGAAGGAAAATCCAAGCAAGATTTAAAAGCTTGCAAAAGCATAGAAGGATTAAATAACATGATGTGTGCCTAAGGAACTAAAATCTGCTTAATATTAATGAGGCATAAAATTTGAGAAAAAGGAAGGCAGCAAGAACCAAATGACAGTGACTCTAAATATAATCTGAGATTCCAATTATTTTTTCACCTGTAAGTGGGGAAACTAACAGAGCTTTTCAGGTGAGGGAATGTCAAGATTAGATCTTTCATAGAAATAGATCACTTTGGCTACAGTATGAAGCTGAGATAAAGTAACAGAAAGAATCAGTGAGCAGCTTTTAGGCTTTTTCTGTGTTCTATCAAGAGATAATGAGCAATAGGACAGGGTTAAAGCAGTAGGAAGGAGGGAAGATTCTAAAATTGATGAGACAGTAAAATAGATAGATCTTAGTAGTTAAATGGATGGGGTGGATGAGAAGAAGTCAAGTATGACTCTTGGCTTCTGGTTTGGGTCACTAACAAATAGTGGTGGCAGACATTGCAAACAAGCATTCACAAGGAGTAGTGGATTTCAGAGACGTGAAGAACAATTTAGTGGGAACGCTGGAGCGTCACAGTGTGCTGTCATGCCACATTAGGTGACCAAATGTGATCTTTAACATTGATAAACTTTTAAGTCAACTAGCAGTATACTGAATGTAGAATGTGCTGACTTGACCACTGATCAAGATGACTTGGGCCTCTGTTCTCTAGGGAAGGCCTCATATATTTCATGGCATTACATTTTTAAGGAAGTTTTAAGGAGAGAATTTAGAGAACAACATCTGACAAATAAGGTTATTTTCTTAATTAGAGAATAAGAATCTATATATTTGGGCTGAGAGTGAACAGTGTGTTGGGAAATAGGCAGAACAAACAAGTAACAAGAATTTTTGTGATGACACTGTAGGTCTGACACATTCCAAAGGGAGAATGGGAAAATTATAGTTTCTGTGCTCAAACTAAACTAAATCCTTTGGGCTCTCAAGTTCTAGGTATACTAGGAAATTCCACATGTGGTATGTGACTTAATCCTCAAAATGCTAGGATATCAAATCACTTACTGAAGAAACCAAGACTCAAGTAACCTATCCTGGTGACTTGGACATGGCCTCAGGGCTCATGAGTGGTAGAGCTTGCACTTGAATGTGTGCCTTCAAAGCCAGTGCTTAGTCCTAGTCTACTCTACCTATTATGGTGCAGTGCCCTTCATTGTTCCGTAAGGGATGACATACATTATGAACCTAAGCTGTTAGGTTTCTCTGGTCTGTTTCCTCAGCCAAAGACTCTGAATCCTACTGTCCATGGGCTTACTTCAATGCTTGCTTCATTTCTAAGAGAAGGGACCCTACCAAGGGAATCTATGTTAAGGTTTGGCAGAGGGATTTAGACAATTAAGATGTCATTGACTTTCCTTCAACATTTGCCCTGCCAACCCCAACCTACGATTCAAGATTCCCACAGGGACCTTAATCTCCCACTATCACTTTGCTTGTCCAATGTGCCAACAGCTCCCAGATTCCAGGTCTTCTCTTTTCTCATCAATATACACACCAAAACACAGTGACACCTACCAGGAATGCATATAATCTTCAGCACTATCTGTGTAATACTATGGTGTGGAGATTTCCTTTTTATTACTTCACAGAAATCAATTGCAATCTGAATTAGTAGTGTGAGAGACTCAAGAAGTCACATGTAACATTTCCACTTACTTTTTTTATTGAAATTTGACTTCTGTAAATGTCATAGAAAAAAAAGATTAGAGAAGTCACATAAAAGATAATAAAATGTTTTTATGACAAATTTTAAGGGCACGGCTTTATCTTTTTAGGACCAGGGCAATCTGTGAACTTGGCTGTTTCTCCCAACCACAGCCACTAAAGTCGAGTCTTTAAAAGTGTCATTTTAAAACCTCTTTGTCTCTATTTCTAGTATTATGCAATTTCTAAGGAAAGTAAAAGCAAATAAAATATGTTTTAAAGAGTTAATGAAGTTCAAAAGAAAAATAAAACATCATGTTCATAATGAAATGCCATTCTAAGTATAATTCACACAAAGCACATCTAATGTTATTCACATAAATTGGTGTATTTAACACAGTACCTTAACTACATAAAATATTAGATCAAGGTTTTGTTATTAGATCAATGTTTTCTCAAGTTTACAACTTTGAAACTTTCCATAAAATGTTGAATATATTAAATAGAGACAAAAAACGACTGTCACTTTCCGTTATTTGAGCATATAGAATAATGGAACTAATATGCCTAAATTATTTATAAATATATTTTAGAACTACTTCTTCCCTTTTTTTTTTTTTGTTTTGAGGAAGATTAGCCCTGAGCTACCATCTGTCACCAATCTTCCTCTTTTTGCTGAGGAAGTCTGGCCCTGAGCTAACATCCGTGCCCATCTTTGTCTACTTTATATATGGGACATCTACCACAGCATGGCTTGCCAAGCAGTGCCACATCCACACCTGAGATCTGAACCGGCAAACCCCAGACTGCCGAAGCGGAACATGCGCATTTAACCACTGCACCACCGTGCCTGCCCCAGAACTTCTTATTTTTAAGGAATTTTTATTTGAAATTCAATCCAACAGTTATTGAGCACAAATATCTATCAGACATTATCTGAGAGTAATACAATGAGGAATAAGAGTTTCTTTGGTTTGGGTATTTCTAATTTAGTGGAGAAAAAAAGTATAAGCAACTATTATATAAGGAACCATTTCAAGCATGGTAAATAGAAATATGAACACAACTACATGCCAACATACCAAATAGAAGTATAAATAGGATTAATTCTAATGGAATATAGGATGGTTTCGTAAACGAAATAGTCTTTGCATTGAGCTTTAAGAACGACAAGAATAAAGAAGTGAGAGAAAAAATTTACAGGATAAACAATACCCTGTCAACAGATTGGGACTGTTACTTTTTGTTGTTTAATGGCAGCAATGGAAAATACCTTTTTTCACTTTATTTTTTACCTTCCTTGGACACAGGGAGTCACATTCATCCATTCATTGATTCAACAAATATTTATTGAGTACTTACTAAATCCCAGTAAAAGTGGACTATGGCAGTTAAAGAAAAAAATTAGAGATGCAGCCATGGAAGCCCGAGGAAGACAGGAAAATCAACAATGTTGAGTCTCAGGAGGTCAAACAAGCTAAGGATTCCAAAGTTACTGTTGGATTTGCCACTAGAACTTGACACGAGCAAAATCAATCAATTGTTGGTTTCAGAAGCAGGATTGCAGTGAATGGAGGTGTAAATGGGAAGCGAGAAGGTTGTAAATATAGACAATTCTTTCAAGAAAGTTGACAGCGAGATGCAGAAAATAAGGGGAAAAAAATC